CCTGGGAGCGCTCTGGGAGCCCTGGGAGCCCGCCTTAAGCGAATTTCATATGTTTGGCAGCTCCATGGGATGTGACAGACCTCGCGGCGGAGCCTCAGGTCAAGGTTTCTGTTCATCTGTCAGAACCACCCGAGGGGGTACCTCGCGGCGGGCGCATCTTCCTGAGCGCTGATCTCGCGTTTCGTCGGTGCCGCGTCCGTGCATGGGCGGACTCGCTGATCGTTCGGCCAGGCGCCGCGGCCCACGATGTTGCGCCGCCTGCGGTTTGCAGTTCAGCGTCAAGCAGGACGAATCTGTCAACGTGCTGGACGTGTCATACACTGTCGCGGTGCTCACATCCCACCCGCTCTAGAAACCTATTTCATATGACAACGCACACGCGAGTGCACGCGAGCCAGCGGGGAAAGCCGCGTGGGCGTCGCGGCAACGGACCGCTTGGGGTGCGCTCGAGCGGGCGCCGCGCGGGCGGAATGTGGGCCGCGCCATAGCTTTCGCTGGCGATCGCGAGGGGCGCAGACGGGCAGCGCGATCGGAAGTGGCCCGCGCCGTATTTCTAATGGGTGATCGCAAAGGGCAATGAATTCGCGCCCTTCGGCCGCGCGCGCGGGACGTGACCCGGGCCATTTTTTCGATGGGGGATCTTAGGAATGTGCTTCGCATGGCGATGTGCGCCGCGCCACATGTTTAATTTATGATCACGATCAGTTTAGAACTTGCTTCCCCAGAGTCAAGGGCATAAAAAACGCCCCTACCCTGGTTTACGAGGCGCTGTGCGCTGAAACTCCTGTGGACTGACAGGGTAAACCCTGCGTGATGTGCCGCGTCCTGGCGGCTCTAGGCTTTGGGGGTTCCCAGGAGGTTTACAGACCACGCACTTGTAATCCACGGGGTAGGGTCGGTTTTCTCATCCCCCAACAGAGGCAAAATCCGACGGATACCTTGTCGTGTGACTGATAAGCAGCGTTCAGGAGTGGCGCGAGGCGGCGCGGCCAGTTCGATTGGATGTTGACGGGGTCCGACGCAGCCCGGTCGGACGCACATTCCGTGCCGATCCGTTTTCCAGACTCGATGATTCGATGCCAATTGATCCTGCATTCTGGGCTTGACCTCTCTCCTGGTGGGGGAAGGGTCAAACAAGCCGCTGCGCGAGGGTCCGGCAATGGCCCGGGTTATCGGGCCCGCCCGCCCGGACCCGACAATTGGCGTTTACTAATGACCCTGGGCGTTTACTTAAAGCCCTGCCCTGGTCGATTCCTTCTCTGGGTGCGTTTACTGAACGGCCTCGCTTGTCGGGGTGGTTGTTATGGAGATGGATTTTTTGCCGTCTATTCACCCATTGATAGCCTGGCCTTGTCGGTTGCGCAGATCTGGAGGAGATCCGCGCGGCACAAGCGCGAGCGGGCACGCGTGGTTCTGCCGCGGGGCTGCTTCAAGCGAAGAGGTTAGGTGTAAGTCGGGTCTGTCCCGCTACAGGGGGAAATTCCAAAGTAATAAAAAACAGTCTGGGGACGATTTTTGACTATCTTGGAATATGTGTGATATCTGTTTTGAATAGTTTTAATTTTGTCGCCCAAAACCCGCCTGTAGGGGGAGATGCCCGAACTAAGGTTGGGTTCTCGACCGCCCTCCCCCCCGCGCGGACAACCCGGGCGATCGCCGAAGCACGCAAACGGTTTTAAAGGAGGGGGGATTCATTTCGACTCGATGACGACGTTCTTTGATTTCCGAGGCCAGGTGCTCCTCCCGGGGGGGGGTCGCCATGCGCGGTGACGCCCCCCGGCCCCCCCCCCCCCCCAGGGCCCGCATGCGGGGCCAATTCCAACCGACAGAAAGTAATCCCAACCGTCTGGCGCATTGTCCAACAGGCTCGAAAAGACAAACCGGTACTAACTCCGACCAGCCAAATAACGTCACTGCATGATTCCAATGTGCGAGGCGACTTCGTCATCGTCGCCATCATCATCATCATCATCATCATCATCATCATCATCATCATCATCATCATCATCATCATCATCATCATCATCATCATCATCATCGTCAGCGTCAGCGTCATCAGCATCATCAGCATCATCAGCATCATCATTATCATCAGTATCATCAGCATCAGCATCAGCATCCTCATCATCACCGCGCCCACCACAACCGTACCACAACCGTCATCACCATCATCATCATCATCATCATCATCATCATCATCATCATCATCATCATCATCATCATCATCGTCATCATCGCCCAGCTCATCCGTCGCGGGCGCGCCGTCCTCTTCTCTCCCCCACATCCTTCTCCGCCGGAAGAGGGGGGGGGACGCCCCTTCAATTCGCTCCGAGGCTTCGCGGGCGGCCGGAGGCCCCCCCGTCGCTCTCCCCGCCCGCGTCTTCCTCGTAGTCCTCTTCCTCCTCCTCGTCTTCCTCCTCCCTGCCCCATGTCTTCCTCCTCCCCTCCCTCCTCGTTCCGCCTCGAGGCGTCGGGGCCGCCGCCCTACCGAACGACCGAACGACGACGACGACGACGACGACGACGACGACGACGACGACGACGACGACGAGAACGACGACGCGCGCGCGCGCGCTGGGGGGGGCGCACCGTCTCGGAGGGGGCCGCCGCGCGCGAGCAGAGGCGACGACGACAGCGACGAACGGGGTGGGCGGCAGGGGCGGCGAGGACGGCGGCGAAGGACGGCGACCGTTTTTTTCTTTTGCGGGGACTTCTGGGGCACCTCGTCGCCGCGGCCGCGGTCGCTCTGAAGTCTTGGCCAGAACGCGGCCCGGGAGAGACGACGACGACGACGACGACGACGACGACGACGACGACGACGACGACGACGACCACGAAGACCATCGTGACGACGACGACGATGACTGCGACGACGGCGACGACGACGACAATGTTGGCGGCGCAGATACTCGATAAACCGATACCGCTGATCGCCAGGAGTTCGGAATTCTTTCTGACCAAGACATGCGAGCAGCGCACACAGCCGCGGCGACGCCACAGCTGCCCGAACTTCAAAGCGGAATCGATATATGATATATGGTATACCCTCTTCCTCCTCCTCCTCCCTCCCCATCCTCTTCTTTTTCCTCCTTTCACGACGACGGCGAAGGAGGGTTGGATGCGACTGCGCCTCGATGGAATCCGAGCCCGCCTGCCCGCAGTCGGGCCGCCATAGCCCACGCTACCCCTGAACGCAGCTCCTCGCTTACTACAGAAGAGCCGCGGCCGGGAGCTTCCACCCCCGCCGGTGCCTGCCAGCCCTGGACGGGACGGGTGAAACAAAATTACCCCAGTGCGACCCTACCTAGGAGTTGGAGCCCCTAGGAAAGCAGCATCAGCTAAGCTAAGCAAAGCTAAGCTAAGCTAAGATAGCTAAGCTAAATTAAGCTAATATTCGGCTAACATGAGATAAGCGAAGCTGAGCTGAGCTAGGCTAGGCTTGGCTAAGCTAAGCTAAGCTAAGCTAAGGTGAGGTAAGCGAAGCGAAGCTAAGGTAAGGTAAGGCAAGCTAAGCTAAGCTAAGCTAAGCTAAGCTAAGCTAAGCTAAGATAAGATGAGATAATCTAAACTAAGCTAAGCCAAGCTAGGCTAGGCTAAGCTAAGCTAAGCTAAGGTCAGCTCAGCTAAGCTAGTATGAGATAAGACAAGCTAAGATAAGATGAGCTAAGCTAAGTGAAGCTAAGCTAAGATGAGATACGCAACGCTAAGCTAATGGGACGTAGCTGGGGGAACTGCGGGGCAGATCCTGGGGGAACCGCCCGGGGCGAGCCCCACTGCCCGGCCGCTGTAAGCTCAGAGAGTAAGAACCTTTCTAGGCAGAGTCTCGGTAGTAGGGAACAATAATGAAAGAAGAAACAAAGCCGAGAGGAGGCGATGGAAAGAGGGGGGGACGGATATAGTTGTTTTCGAAAACTTTTGACTTGCTCTGGGGTGTTCTATAAATTTTCGTTCGTGCTCCAATGCTCGGGCCGTTCCCACCGCTTTCAAATCCTGCCTCCGCACCCTTTTCCTTTCTCGAGGCCGTTCCGCCAGCGACGGGCGCGCTACCCGCCTCGCCGCCACACCTGTCATTTCCCGCGCGACCTGCCCACCTCCGCCCGATTGCGTCGGGCGACCCGCGCGGCGCTTCGGAGGCGCCCGCGCTACGCCGCGAAAACGCCCGCACGACGCCTCGAAGGCGCCTGTGCCGTTTCCCACAGGTGTCGGTTGCAACTTATCCTCGAGTTGTTGGAATTAGTACAAACGGGGTTGCAATGTGTACTAATGTTTTCATTGGCGTTAATTGGTTCGAATTGGTTCTAATGTGTTGTAATGTGTTTAATTGGTTGTGGTTTGTCCCGTGTCCCCCAGGACCCCCCTCCCGCGCGGCCCTCTCTCGTTTCGGGAACGCCTTCTGATTTCTCGTGCACATTCTTCGCCAGCAGTCCTGTTCCTAAATCCTTTTTCTGTCCAACCGTCTTAGCTGTCATCCTCCTTTCGCTCCACCCCCCTGGGGCATTTGTCAGGATAAAATATGGGCTTATGGTACACCCGCGAACATCCGCGGCATGGTTTCAACCGCCCTCGGGAGGATCCCAAATGATAGGTAGTTATCCAGCGCCTCGATTCCGCAGGCGTCCCAAAGCCGGCGTGCCCAGATGGAAGGAGTCACTGGCCCAGACGAGAGGCCCGATTTTCCCATGGGGGTGCCGCCATGCCTGAATTCCTTTGACGGCCTGAAAAACTGTTTCCGACCGTTCCGAGACAGACCCCAGACGGCCCACGAGACGCCTCCTCTTCCGCTGTCCTTCTCACCCCCCTTCTGACGACGGTGGCGCCGGCGGCGGCGACGCTGTCGGCGGCGACGGCGGCAGCGGCCACAGCGACGGCGACGGCGACGGCGGCGGCGAGGACGCGGCGCGGCGAAGCTGCGCGAGCGGCTGCGGCTGCGGCGGCGGCGGGTGGCGACGCAGCGCAACGGCGCAGCGCGAGCGGCGGGCGGGGGCGGAGGCGGCCGCCGCGGCGCTCCTCGCGGGCGCGCCGGCGCTCTTCGCTGGGCGGCCCACCGCCGGGACGCGGGCGCCTTCGGAGGCGCCCAACGGCCCTCGGCGGCGCCCGGTGGCCCTCGTGGGCGCTCGGCGGCCTCGGTGGCCGTCGGCGTGGCCCTCGGCGTATCCCAGGCAGCGGCCTAGAGGAAGTCGTCGGAGTCGGCGTGGGCGTCGTGGCTGTCTGTCGTCAGACGTCTTCATTGTCCTCGTCCCTGCCCTCCCCGCTGTCCTCCTCCTCCTCCTCCTCCTCCTCCTCCTCCTCCTCCAGTGTTTTTCTCCTGCGCCTTGCTCCAGTGCTGTCTTTTCAGGAACCCGCCCGCGTCTGGATGGTCTGGGGAGGGGGGTCCTCCTGGCCAGGTTCGGGCTCGAGCCCAGCAATCTTACACAGTGAATCGCGCGTGCCACTTTCAAGCGAGATCAGTCGCTTGAGGAGGAGGCGCCGTGGGAGTAGTTCCCTCGTTCTTTGGGCTAGTGGGCTTTCGACTGCGGACTTATTTTTCACATATTCATTCCTCCTCTTTCTCCTCCTCCTCCTCCCCCTCCTCCTCTTCATGTTCCTTGTCCTCCTTTTCCCCATGCTCTCCCTTGAGAGGACGGGGGAGGAGGATGCGGCAACAACGGCCGCGGCGTCGGCGTCGTCGCCGTCAACGTCGTCGTCGCCGGTGCCGCCGTCTCTGTCGCGGCCGCCGCTTCGCTGGTGCCGTCCCCGCCTCCGCCTATTGTTCGTCCTCCCCCGTCGCCGCAGCCACTGCCATGGCTTCGTCGTCGTCAACGTCTCCCTTCTGAAAGACGACCCCTGACCTGTCCAAGGGCGCGTTTGTCCTTAACGGATTGGCGACTCTTCGCTAATCGACGTATGGGGGACCAGCCAGATAAATCCAGGTTTATGCAGATATATCGAAGTACATTCAGGTATGTGTTGGCAAATACAGGCGCGTCCAAGTAAAACCAGAGATCTCGTGTGAAATTTGGAGCACATCGTGGCCGTTCCAGCGCGACTCGAGGGACAGCTGGAGTCGTCACGCGCTTCACGAGCTTGGACCAGAATCCCGAGGCAGATCCAGCCATGGCCACAAAACCGCACCGAGAGCCCCAAGCGATATCATTTTTGGTCAGCGGCCGCGGGCGCAGTCCGAGGCGGCCGCCCAGCGCAGCAGTGCAGGCCCAATGCAAGAGTCAGGGGAGGCAGAGGGGCAGTCACAGAGCAGGGAGGAGGAGGAGGAGGAGGAGGAGGAGGAGGAGGAGGAGGAGGAGGAGGAGGAGGAGGAGGAGGAGGGGAGGAGGGGGAGGAGGAGGAGGAGGAGGAGGAGGAGGAGGAGGAGGAGGAGGAGGAGGAGGAGGAGGAGGAGGAGGAGGAGGAGGAGGAGGAGGAGGAGGGAGGAGGAGGAGGAGGGGGAGGAGGAGGAGGAGGAGGAGGAGGAGGAGGAGGAGGAGGAGGAGGAGGAGGGAGGGGGGAGAGGGAGAGAGGAGAGAGGAGAGGGAGAGGGAGGAGGAGGAGGAGGAGGAGGAGGAGGAGGAGGAGGAGGAGGAGGAGGAGGAGGAGGAGACGAGGAGCAATCAGGAGGACAGTTGAAATCCCAAGACCAACGATGTTGGAACAATCCCTCCCTGCAAGCTCCATTTTTCTGGGCCCCTACCAGGGTTCTATTTTCACTGAGGAAAGTGCCCCGTTGGGAGACAACCGTTTGACAATCCTGAAGGGTGCCAATACACCTTGCCCGGGACCCCAACGTCACGAATCAACATGAGTTCTGCGTTCTCACGATCCTGAATCTTGCCAGAGCACCATTCCTGGGACTTCAACACCGCGAGTCAACGTAATTGTTGCGCCATGACAATCCTAAATTGTTCCGAAGCGCTACTGCTGATGCGCTGACCATGGGAATATGTGAAACGCTTGCTAACATTTGCGACGAATGTGCGCGGCGCTGAGGCGAGAGCCACATTTTGAAAGGGACAACGCTGAAACTGTGAAGCGCTTGCAAATGCGTATCACGAAGGTGCTCCGCGCTATGGCGAGAGCCACAGTTTGAAAGCGGTGAAACGAGTGCAAGGTTTTGAAGCGAATACGCGCGGCGCTAACGCGAGAGCCACAATGGGAGAACGACCCGCCCTCAATCCGTGAAGCGCTTACCACTATTGAAAACGAATGTGCGCGGCGCTAAGGCGATATCCTCAGTTTGAAGAACTCCCGCCCTCAATATGTGCAGCTGCTGCCACTCCTCAAGCTTCAGGACCATTACTGGTCAGGGAAACTCGGGCGAAATTCCCGGCCCGCCCTTGCGACTGGCTTTGGGGTGCGACAGGGAGACATTAGAAGTTATGTTTCAGAAGGAAGAATTGAAAAGGAGGAGGAAGAGGAGGACGAGGAGGAGGAGGAGGCGGAAGAGGAGGAGGAGGAGGAGGAGGAGGAGGAGGAGGAGGAGGAGGAGGAGGAGGAGGAGGAGGAGGAGAGGGACCGCCCAGCGCATCCTGGCGGGCGGGCGCGCGGGAAAGCCACGGCCTTAGCGCACGGGAGAAGTAAAAGCAACAATCGGCGTCGTCGCTCGTCATCGCCACTGGAGGTTGAACATCACAGAAAATGTCCAAGCCCCCGCCTCAGTTTGTTCACGGCGCGAGGATGTTTGCGCTTTCGCTTTGGGCCAGAGCCCATAAATCATCACAGCTGCCCGTCGGTTCTTCCTCTGGTCGGGGAGGGCTTCGAACGCGAGCCTTATCAGAGGGCCTTAGGCTCGCCGCCGACAAGGCTACGCCGGACATCACAGTAAAAAGGGGGGTGGTCTGATTGGGGGGGGTCTGCTTAGAGCTGCTCTCTTGGAGGGTTTCAGCGAGGTCTGGGCAAAAAACCGCCCTTCCATGGCTGGTCTTGGGGGTTTCTAAAAAGGGCTCGTCTGGGAGGGTTGTGACGCCTTGATTTTTTTGCTAACTTTGGGCTACGTTCGCTGCTCGTGGACGGGAGGTGGCATGCCCCCACTCCGACGAATACCTGGATAGATAAGCAAGCATTACACTGCGGATGTTGCCGTCACGCCTGCTATCTCCCGCTCAGCGTGTAGAGCGGAACGACATTTTTAGATCCAGTTGCGCACCTCCCCCCTGGAGGCGCCCCCCCTCAGAGGCTACATTTTCACATCCAGCTGCGGCCTGCCCCCACCCGCCTGCCGCCCCCCAGTAGAGGCGCTGCGCGAGGCGCGGCCCGGCGCGGCCCCGGTGCAGCCGAGACGTGCGCCCGAGTTGGCGCGCTTGGCGCGCGGGGACGGCGGCGGCGCCGACGTGCCCGTGCAGGCGCCCTCCTCAGGGGGGGGCATAGAAGTTCAGAAGAGAATAGGGGGAGGAGGAAGGAGGAAGTATGATGATGAGGAGAACGAGGAGGAGGAGGAGGAGGAGGAGGAGGAAGAGGAGAAGGAGGAGGAGGAGGAGGAGAGGGACGAGGGCGAGGTCCCGGGAGGGGGGAGGGTGGGCCTGGCATCGCTCTGACGTGTGCGCGGGGGTACCTCGTCCTGGTCGGGGAAACGTAAGGCTCGAGCACGCCAGAGTTCGGATTTGCCAGCGCTTTGTGAAGAACGCGTCCTGGATTTGAACGGTCCAGTTTTGGTGGGATGTTTGCAGCGGGAGCTCGCGTCATATTTCAGACTGGTTCGTGCCATTTCCATGATAGCCCCGTCTAGCCAACCAGAGACCCTCCGAACCCGAGTCTTATGTCTCCCCAACATGGGGGAGACCCGTGCGGGGCTAGGACGACGAAACATTTGTACCTTTGTCCGAGCAACCACGGCTGGTGTCAGACATTTGTTTTGCCAGTACCCTACCCTACAGCAGAACGCATACGCCTGAAAACGACCATAGAGGAGGGCCACGTGCCCTATGCATGTGATCAGGCTATAGAGGACCATTAGGACGACTGCGGCACCGATCGCACAGATCTGGCCCCATATCCTCTGGGCTTCCCAGGCATCGGCGAACCGGGTCACGCCAACGAGAACGACGACGACGACGACCTCCACGGCAGTCTCACCCCAGACTTGCCGACATGGTGGTTCCGCGGCTCTTCGGCGCCGGCAACGGACCGCCATCTGGCGAGTGTTCAAACGATTCAGCCTTCCAGGTTCGACGACGTCCACCACCTCCTCACTTACCTTCCTCCCACTGACAACGGCATTGGCATCATGGGGACATGCGGTTGGGAGGTTCGGAACAGCCAAGTTGCTCTGCGCCGCTCTCATCCCAAGGTGGGCACCAGTTTCGATTTGGTGTCTGGTTGCGACTTCAACGACGGGACGAGCAGAGAGCCGTGGAAAGACACATCCGACAAAGTCGGCCCCTAGTGGCCGCCATGGCTCCCGCATGCAGTGTTTCGGTCGTTGGGCTACTTTTCATGTCGAACGCCTTAAGCACAGCACCTGGCTGGCTGCGCTCCTTCAAGGACGCAGCCCCGCATGGCCGATTTTGTGGCTGCGTGTATACGCTACATCTTGCAGATCGGCGGCTACTTCGTCAACGGGCAACCCGGTTCATCATGGCTGTGCACTGAGCCGCCTTGTCCAAAGGTGTTAGCGTCACCAGGCGCACACGAGGCCGTCTTCGACCAATGCCAATTTGGACCAGGAGATCGTCGCGGGGGTATTCTCCGAAATACCACGGGCCTGGTCTCCAACGCCCCGGAGATCCTCAAGCAGATCGTGGACCTCAAGTGCATCGACCAGCACGCCCGCGTGCACGCCGAGGGCCACAACAGCCTCGAATTCCAAATCTGGCCATGAAAGATGGCTGAACGGCTCGTCAAGGACATCGTGGACCTATGCCGGCGCCTGAGACGCCCGCGCATGGAAAACTATGCGTGCGAATGCGTTGTCGATGCGGCAGCGTTTCCAGCTGCGGCCTCAGGGGCCACGGAGGGCGAAAGTAGGAGCGGCATGACAGCCGAGCGCACATGCCACACGCGCAAGGCTTGCCGACGCAACGTGCGATCGGATTCGCTCATGCTCTCCCGAGATCTGGCCACTTGCTGGTACCCTCACAGCGCCCCAATACACGAGGAATGCCCAGGCGGCCGCGAGGAGCAAGAACGCGACCATCCAGCACGCGCCCGCGAATCTAGCATAGCAAGCGCGCGCTCGCGGACCCTAACGCATCAGGCGGGGCCGCGCCCACGCACCGGCAAACATCCACGATCGCCAGCGCGACCTGGAAGACCGCGCCCAATCAGCGATCAACAGGCCCAACTACTTGGAGGGGCCCGCCTCGGAGCAGCAGACGAGTGAGCACTGCCACCGGCGCCGCCCAGTGCACCAGGAGCCAGCTCATCTTCCTGCGTTGGGGCTTGGGGTAGTGGATCCGACAACGGCGATGCCCGTTCATGATTACGAGCGATTCCAAAATAAGGACACAGCACCGAGACGGGCATCGCCATGCGCTGTCGACTTTGCTGCAGGCAACCCAACGCGCGCAGATTGGATTCGCTTCGACATCACCACCACGTCACTACGAGCACTGCGTGGGGACTCGCGCGAGACGCGCGCGCGTGATATACGCGAGCTGCATCTCATGCGATGGCCCGCCACCAAGAATCATGGTCCAAGCACTGCGCGCAACTTACATGCCGCTGTCCATCCTCGACCTCGTCCACACTGTAGGCCACGACTGTTAGAGATGCCCGAAGCGGCTTCCGCCAGCGCGCCAGACCACCCCCGCGCCCGCGCCCTTCGACGCGATTGAATCAATACATTGAATGCGACATCATTCAATACAAGTGCCGCATGGCACTGCACGTGGTCTGCCGCGCCCCACGGTGGCGCAACGGCCAGGAGATCGCGGACAGATGCGACTCAACCTTGCCGGCGGCAGCTGGCAGGCCCCGGACACTGCCATTCAGATCAATGGAGACCTTCATCGTGGACGGCGAAGGCGGGGTGACCTTCAAGTACTTCGCAGAGGAGATGGGGGGAGGGGCCCAGGTGGGCACCTGCGCCCCGACTCAGCACGCGCGCGTCATTGAGCGACGCGGTGCAAAGCTACGACGCTCACTGCGCGCCGCCGAGGAGCAGCTGGAGCACGAAATCATCGCCGCCAACATGCTGGTCAACATATCTGCCGTCAACAGCCTCGCCCAAGTGGGCGGCGTTGCGCCGTGGAACATAGACTTCGGCGGGCAGCCCTCCACGCTGCCGCCGCTCGCAGCAGCGGGGAAGGGGGGGGGGGGGGGCGACCGCGTGGCTGGAGCTGGCCCCGCTGCTGGCGGCGAGGTGCAAACCGGCCGATTGCAGTGGCGCGCCGGTGATGTTGCCTTGCGGCAAATGATCGAGGCTTCTCCAGTCGCCCGCTTAAGCCGCGCCCTCCAGACGCGCGCCGCTGTGACCGGAGAGGGGTGCTTCCACGCGGGTGATCAGGTGGATATTCACCGGCTTCCTAGCGCAAGCGACGCGCCAGGATGGGCAGGGCCCAGCGATGTCCTGTCTTTGGAACCAGCTAGAGGCAAGATCATGGCCAAGTACCGCAACGCCGCGATGGCCTGCAGAACGCAGGACGCACGACCCTTCATCGGCGCCGTCTTCGACGACACGTGCACCGGCACGGCGCGCAGGCCTGGCCTGGCATCGCGCGGAAGGTTTCGTGGATGGCGCCCTGTCAGGCTCAATTCCGCCAGGCTCAGGGGCCAGGGCATTCGGCCACTGGCAGGGCGAGCAGTGCAAGCAGCGGACAGCGGACTCGGCAACGCCGCGATGTCCTCGACGCCTTGCGCCAATTGTCTCGCAGATGCCTTCAGCTGCGCGACGTTTGTGCCGCGGGTTTCGCGCGCGGCCTGAAATGCGTCGGCGACTGGCCTGGCTGCGCCCGCTGTCTAGCCATCTAGCGTTTTCTCGGAGCGCGAGCGACAACGTGCGCTTAGATGGCGTCAAGTACGACGCCCGCCGCCTCGTCGGCGAGAAGCGGAGGGACGCTCGCGTCGCCCAGTTTATCCTGCGCGGCGAACAGCTGCTGGTAGCCGACGCCGGGCAGGGCCAGGGCGGCGCGGTCGATGACTGCGTCGTCGACGTTCCCAAGGACGCCGCCTGCGCTGCCGAGGGCGGTTCGCCATCGGCCTCGTCGGTGCGACCCGAAGAGGCTGACGGCGATTTCTCCGGCCACGTCCAACAGGCGATGGGCGGCCGCGCGGCAGCAGGTCGAGGGGGCGGGAGAATTGACTCAGGAGCAACCGGAGTTGGAGAGCACTCGGCCGCCTGCGCAGGCCGCCAGCTTCGCGAGCGGCCCCGGCACCTGGAAACGCAGCGCCAGCGTCAGCACACCCACGCGCAGCGCCACTAATACCTGCGCGGCGCCTCTCCAGACGACTACGCCAAGTTAGACGAGGAGGAGGATGAAGGGGGGCAGCGCGCGGAGTTGCATCTGGGCCCTGTAGCACGAGAGGCATTGCTGAGCTGCCGCGAGGGCAATATCGTTGCCTGCGCGCCCGCCGCAGCCGCGCGCAAGGTGCGCGTCGCCGCCGGGGCCCCGGCGATCGAGCGCGACGCCGATCTCTCATCCGAAGAGGAGGGAGAGACGCGCGGAGTCGCAGCCGGACTCTGGGGCACGAGAGGTATTCCTGAGTTGCCACGAGGGCATCCACGTTGCCGGCGCGCCCCCCGCAGCCGCGCACAAGGCGCGCGCGAAGAGGAGTTGTCGAGGCATGGTGAGGCGCGCGCGAAGAGCGCCCGCCACAGCCGAGCCCCGCGGCCGTCAAGCGCGACGCAGGCCTCGCATCCGAAGAGGAGTTGTCGAGGCTGTCCAGGGAGCTGGCGCCGCAATCCTCGTGGATCTCACGATCTGGGTCACGTGCAAGCGTCCTAAGCGACGTCCTTTCCATGGCGCTCATCGGGGCGCCGCGGGCTCCAGCCGCGCGTTCAAGCGGAAGCGCCGCGAGGGACCCGATGGCAAGACTGCCGGGATCGCCCGGCGCCGCTCGGCGCTGGGATGCTTCCGCGACGCGGGCGCTGGAGCCCGGGAGACGTTCTCGGGCGCGGCGAATTGGGCGCGCGCCCCAGATCTGTCTTCAGGGGCGGCCCGTCGCTCAGACCGGGCGCGCGTCGCTGTGGACGTCGAGCGCGCTCTCCTGCACTGCGAAGCGCCGCGAGATGCGAGAGGCGAACCTCGCCCCGCCGCCCGGCGGCGCTGCTGACCTCCCGCGCGCCCCAGGCAGCGAGTCCACCGACGAGCGGACCAAGCGCCTTCGCCGCATTATGCCGGGCACGGGCTGCAAGGGCGCACCCGGGGCTTCCTCCGCGAAGCTCGCCGGGGTCGCGCTCTCGCCCGAAAGCGACACTGAGCCGACGCGATGGTGCCCCAAGGTCAAAGTCGAACGAGTCGTCGGGCACCTGTCGCGGCGCCGGCGGCTCTAAATTAGTGCCCATGCTGTCCGAGCACGTTGGCGATCTCAAGATCGCAGGACGCAAGGAGCACGTCGACTTACTCATCGGCTTCATCGTGGGCGTCTTCGGCGAGATGAAGGGGGACTACGACGACATCACCAACTGCGCACTCCACCAGCAACGCAGTGCCGATGGCACAGCGGCGCTCGACCAGGACGAATGCACCGACGCTCAGATTCCCATCAGGCACGTTGACCTGGCCAGGTCGAAGGCCGACGAGCCGGCCGGAAGTCCATTCCCGGATCTGCTTGTTTCCCTGCTTGGAGCAGCTGCCTACGCTCTGCTCAAGCAACGACGCGTTGCCGCCTATACCGTCGCGCTACAGCGGGTCATGAACGAGCTGCTCATCAGACGCACGATGCAGCTCAACTCGACTGTCCTGGCCATGCAGAAGATAAAGGCGCGCGTCGCATTCCCGATGATGGAGCACGCAGGCCTGATCAGCGTGCACAGCGACGGCTCGTTCAAGCGCGAGGAGGAGGGCACGCGGCCTGCGCGGCGCCGCATGCATGCGTCTGGGCAAGTGCCGCAATGCTTACAAACAGATCTGCCACTTGCTCGACGCTGTGAGCCGATTGCATAAGCCTTTGCATCAATCATCTTCCGGCTCCGAGCTGCTCGCCGCATGTTGAGCGGCAGACGGCCTACAAGCGCGCCGCCTGACGCTCCGCGAGAAGGTGCGCGGACCCGCCTCAGCGGATGAGACCGGTAGGCTGAGGGATGAGGGAGGTTGCGCTGTGCTGGCCGAACTGGTCGTGGACGGCATGTCCGTCCTCTCCGCGTTGGCCATGGACTACGTGTGGCCGCCATCAGAGCATAGCGCGGCAGACCGCCCGCGGTGGCTAGCAAACCAGCTGCGCGCCAAACTGGAATCCGACATGCTGTGTTGCGACACCCGCGACATGAGTGCCGACCCCATGGCGCAGGGGAGTATCGGCTGGGGGCCCACCCTCGACATCATGGAGGGGAAGCTCGCCTACAAACGCCCCATGAACGAAGAGCGGCACAAACAAATGGCGCCGAGCTCCCGCCACAGCAACCGCAGCAGGAGCAACGACGACGCTACTTGGCATCCCAATCAGCGTCGCATGTTTGGACTACGCTCGCGAATGCAACGACCGACGCGTACGTCGCGAACTGCAACCGCGAAGGCGACAGAGTCCACCATAAAGAGAGAGAGAGAGAGAGAGATAGAGATACGAAGAGCAAAGCATTATAGTGAGTTGGTTGCTTTCGCGAACTGGTCTCCTTGAGCAGCAGGTTTGGGACAGCAGGGCATGCAAGTGAACAAGTGCGCGTACCATTCGAATGTTCTGCGGCTGGGCAATTTGTGATTGAGGACCTGTCAGTAGAAGGACCTCTGAAGTTCAGCTCCCCTCACTCGCACAACTGTTTATGTGGGGGGTGGTTGCAGAATGTCCTGCCGGTGTTACTTATATGTTTGCGTTGCTGCGGTGTGGCTTGCACCCGCGTGGCACTAGCAGACTCGCTCTTCGAGCACAAGGCTCGAACGGTAAACCATTGACTTGTCTCGCCACCTGCCTCTCTTAATCGTCTCGTCCCACCGCAGCTATTTTTGCTCGCGGCCACGATCGTTAAACGAATCGTGTTCGCGCCACGCGCGTGTTCGATTCATACCGCGTTGCTTCTCAAGCTGTAAACTACAGCCTTTTTACACTTCGCATTTCCATTTCTAATTTCCCTTTCCTCCTCCTCCCCCTCCTGCTCGCCTTCTCCTCCGCGTCATCCTCCTCCACCTCCGCCTCTCCGCTCCTCCCATCCATTCCTGCATCCTGTGTTTCCTCGACCTTGTCCGCGTCCTTCTGCTAATCCCCTCTCCCCTGTTTCGGCGCCTGCTCTGGCGGTGGGGTCGTTCCCAGACGTCCGTGACAAAATGGCATGTTGAATCCTCGCGTTTTTGTTTGTTCGGATTTTCACCGTACACAAACAACATGTGTTGTTTATTATTATTTCGCGGGGGCTGTCACCAGCGGTTCCTTCGGAGGAAATCTGCCTGGGGCAAGGGCCTGGGGCTTCTGGGACCCACGGAATTGACGGCACAACACTTGTTGGATGCCAGGACTTGAACAGGAGGAGGAGGAGGAGGAAGAGGAGGAGGAGGAACAGGAGGAGGAAAAGGACAGGAGGAGAATTCCTTCCTCTTCCCATTCCCGCTCCCCCCCCCCGCACCGCCAACGACGTCGCCACCATACTTCATTTTTAACCCCTCTCCCCCCTTCATTCTTTTTCCGCCGCGAGGAGGAGGAGGAAGAGGAGGAGCTGAGGAGGAAGAGGAAAGGAGGGCAAGGGCCGTTCAAGAGGGTGGAGGGGGAGGAGGAGGAAAAGCAGGAGGAGGGTGTTTTCCGTTCTCTTCTTAGAAGACCACCCGGCGGTTGCGCGCCATCGGCCCCAATATCAGGGCGTCGAACACATCTAATGGTATGCTACCGGAGAGAAGCCCGATCATAATCTTTTTGGGGGGGGCCATAGGGCTATAGGGATGTTGAGCTGTAGGGCTAGGTTTACAGGGCTATTGGGCTATAAGGCTGTCGGGCTATTGGGCTACAGGGCTATGGGGCTAGAGGGCTAGAGGGCTAGAGGGCTAGAATGCTAGAGGTCTAGAGGGCTAGAGGGCTAGAGGTCTACTGGGCTATATGGCTATAGGGCTATAGGGCTGTAGGGTTATTGGACTATTGGGCTATAGGGCTGTAGGGCTATAGGGCTGTAGAGCTATGGGGCACCCGGGCACCCGGGCGGGCTGCCGAAGTCGGCGACGCAGCTCCCGGGCACTCGGATACCCGGACACCCGGGCGGGCCGCCAAAATCGGCGACGCAGCTAACCTGACCATGTGAATCCGATAGGACCCCTTTAGAGGCAAGCTCTGATTGGGGAACACATTATGGCACATGCTTACACATATGTACACATATAGACATAATATAGAGAGGTTCGCTGACAAACCTGTAGATGTACTCATACATTCATGCATGTATGCATACACGCATACATACATACACATACGCACTTACCTATATTGTCGTGTCGTGCGCCCTCGGGAATCTCGGCCCATTCCCAGGGTTGGCTATTGCACCCTTTGACGGTCTCACGGCCGAAAGACCGCCTTGGGGGCAGAGCGCGCAGTACAAACATTGGCCGCCGCAATGTTGTTGAAAGGCGGCGCCCGGACCGGACCAGAGGGGCAGACTCTAGGCCTCGCAGATGGGGTCGGAGTAGATGGGGTCGGAGGATCGCGCCGCATCGCCGATACATCGCAGATGCGGCTCGACGTGGAGACCCATTTTTTCCACGCCGACGTCGCCGATGCATCGGGGACGTCGTCGATGCATCGGCGATGCATCGGCGATGCCTCGGCAATGCAGCGCGTTCCTCCGACCCCACCTACTCGAACACTATCCGCCGACCCCACCTATTAGGACCCTATCTGGGAGGCCTTTGCGGACGCCCCAGGAGCAGGGGCAGGCTTCCCGGGCCTCGAGGATGTCCAGCAGGCTGATGGACGAGATCACCGGCAGCACCCCGGGGCTCGCGCGCTCCTCGGCCGAGGAGCCTCGCCCGCCGCCGCCCCCCACCAGCGGCCCTGCGCTGCATCTCTCTTTGTTCGGGGGACCCTGCGCTGCGTTTTGCGGATCGAGCTGCGGTCTTTCCTTCGTGCCCCGCCAGGGCTCTACGTGGGCCCGACACGGATCTGGCGTGAATCCGACGTGGATTCGGCGCGGATTCGACGCTGCTGGCGGCGCCATGGGATCGGCAGAGCCCCCCGAATATGTGACCTAACCAGCCCCCAGGGAGGCCCCCTCGGTGATCGAGGATCGAGGCTCAGAAGGGTCCTCGAGGATTGAGGATCGTGACATCTTCGATATCAACATCTCCGAGGTGTCGCGAGGATGTCTGGGATCTTGGGAGGGGGTGCGACGGCCGCCGCCCGCGGGCGCCCTGCCCGGCCGCAGGACCCAAAGGCGCCGGAGGGCGCGGGCGGCGTGCGGCTATTCGCAGCGCCGGGGCCGAGGGAGCGCGTGGACTTCGCGCTCTGGCTGCGGGCTCGGCCCGACGTTCCCTGAGATCCAGACCCCCTCGAGTCATGAACAAATCACGACGAGGTGTTTTTTCAATACTTTTGGCCTCTGAGGACCCTCATTGGGCCTCGGGACTGTCACACTTGTCCTGGCGAAGGACCCAACCATACGCAAGTGTGAGAACTGCAGGGCAAGTGGGACGAAGCAAGGGAAATTCCCAATGGGGCCACGAACCGTGTGAGAGGTGCGCCAGAATGGCGCGTGGCCGCCATGTGAACCCTGCCACTGGGGCCTTCGGTGGAGCCCTCTTTGGGGCCACGAACCGTGTGAGGGGCGCGCCAAAATGGAGCGAGGCCACCATGCGAACCCTGCTACTGGGGCCTTCGGTGGCGCTCCCTCTTGGGCCACGAAACGTGTGAGGGATGCGCCGCAATGGGGCTGGGCCGCCATGCGAACCCTGCCACTGGGGCCTTCGGTGGAGCCCCCTGTGGGGCCACGAACCGTGTGAGGGGTGCGCCAAAATGAGGCGGGGCCGCCACGCGAACCCTGCCACTGGGGCCTTCGGTGGAGCCCCCTATGGAGCCACGAACCGTGTGAGCGGTGCGCCAAAATGGGGCGGGGCCGCCACGCGAACCCTGCCACTGGGGCCTTCGGTGGAGCTCCCACTGGGGACACGAAACTTGTGAGGGATGCGCCAAAATGAGGCGGGGCCGCCATGCGAACCCTGCCACTGGGGCCTTTGGTGGAACTCCCTCTGGGGCCACGAACCGTGTGAGGGGTGCGCCAGACTTGCGCGGTGCCACCATGCGAATCCTGCCACTGGGGCCTTCGGTGGAGCTCCCTATGGGGCCACGAAACGTATGAGAGGTGTGCCAAAATGGAGCGGGGTCGCCATGCGAACCCTGCCACTGGGACCTTCGTTGGCGCTCCTTATGGGGCCACGAACCGTGTGAGGGGTGCGCCACAATGCGGGGCCGCCATGCGAACCCTGCCACTGGGGCCTTCGGTGGAGCCCCCTGTGGGGCCACGAGACGTGTGAGGGCTGCGCCAGCATGGGGCAGGGCCGCCATGCGAACCCTGCCACCGGGGCCGTCGGTGGAGCTCCCTATGGGGCCACGAACCGTGTGGGGGGTTTGCCCAAATGCGGGGCCGCCACGCGAACCCTGCCACTGGGGCCTTCGGTGGAGCTCCCACTGGGGACACGAAACGCTGTACTGTGTGGGTGGAATGCAGGGAGGAAGGAGAAGGAGGAGGAGGAGGAGGAGGAGGAGGAGGAGGAGGAGGGAGGAGAGGGAGGGAGGAGGGGAGGAGGGGAGGAGGAGAGGAGAGGATCGCGGGGTACCGTCTCTTCAAAACAAGGACCCAACACCACAGGATGGTTGGGATAAAGACTCAAAATGAAAAGCCGGTCCTGGGGAATGGGTCGAGACCTCTCGGGGTCGACGCCATAAAAAATCAGGACGTCCTGGGTCTGTGGACCCTGGTGTCTCAGAAAGAAAAACACACAGACACAATTAATCGTCGATCCCCTGGAAAATATATGAATATATGCGAAGTGCGGGAAAGACGAAAACCAAGACAATATGGCAACATATTGGGGATCCTGGGATAAGTGTATATTTTTGTTGTCTGTGTGTGTGTGAGTGTGTGTGTGTGTGTGTCCTTGGGCCCTTTTTTTGTTTTCCACATCGGGCGTTTTCGCCCGGCTTCGGAGCCCATGGCCCTCGCAGATCCATGCAGCTCGAGAGGTGCCACAGAGGATCGTGTCGAGGGCGCTGGTTGTGGTTTCTCACGATGTTGCACTTTTTCGTGACGTCAGACCTCAGGCTTGTAGGTTTTCGAGCGGTTTCGTCGTTTCTTGGCGGTTTCCAAGCTTCGTGGTGCTGCCGAGCAGCTGCACCTCGCCAGAGAACGTCCCGAACGGCCGCCAGAGACCCGAGCTGTGACGCGAAAGCCAGAACGATAATCACTCTGGTCGAACGAGGAGGATTGGGAAACGGGGGGGTACGAACATTCCTGCATGCAGCTGGTTTCAGCCCAGGGTGGCGCCGAACTGTCGTTCGACCCAAGAGGTACGAGCTACCACGCTTGGGAGTGCTTTTCGCATTTCTCGGGCTTCCCGAGGTTTTGGAACGTTTTTCGCCCGACTGGTGGTGGTGATGTTGATGATGCGGATGATGTTGAATGCTGATGACGATGATGGTGATAGTGATGGCGATGGTGGTGATGATGGTGACGATGACGATGACGATGACGACGATGATGATGATGATGATGATGATGATGATGATGATGATGATGATGATGATGATGATGATGATGATGATGGTGATGGTGATGATGGTGATGGTGATGGTGATGGTGATGGCTATGGTGATGGTAATGGTGGTGGTGGTGGTGGTGGAGATGAGGAGGAGGAGGAAGAGGAGGAGGAGGAGGAGGAGGAGGAGGAGGAGGAGGAGTAGGAAGAGGAGGAGGCATGGGAAGGTCGTCACAGGTGACACCTTCCGTTGAGGAGCTCTCATAGAGCTTGCTTGGGTTTCCTTGTTGCTGTCTTGGCCTCCTGTGAGGCAGTCTCAGGGGTCCCTCGGGGCCTTCTTGGGCCGTCTATGAGCCTTCTTGGGCCGTCTTCGGGCTCTCTTGGCTCGTCTTGGCGTCTCCTTAGAGTGTGGTGTGTGCAGAGGGGCCGTCGTGGGGCCGTCTTGACGCCGTCTTGGGCAGTCGGAGGACCTTCCGAGGCAGTCTTGGGTCCCACGGGAAGCCCTCTTCTTTTGGGGTCCTCTTAGAGGTTTCTTGGGGCGTCTTGGGGCCATCTTGGCCAGTATTCGAGGCATCTTGGGCCATCTTGGTTGCCTTAGTTGCCTGCCTGAGGCCTTTTGGACTCTCGGGACGTTGGCGCATCGTTTGTATGAGGGGTCGTGGCCCCTAGAGCGCGTACCCTCCGACTTTCACAAGCTATCGTGACCTCAGGAGCAGGGATGAGGCATGCGCCTGTCCGTTGATAGAGGAGGGCCCCTTACTACAAAACATAATGTAAATTCTGATCACAATATCCCTCCCACCAAGCACCCGATGCAAGCACAAGATAAGATACGTAAGATCAGTTGAGCTCCGTACCCAAAGCAAACGTGAGTAGGTGCGCCCACCCTCCCGCCCAGCTTGTGAGCCACAGCAGCCATGGGCGGAAGGGACAGATAATTCATTACTACATTACCACCCTAAATCTCACATCCTCGCCTAATTTATTTTTACAGGAAAAAGAAAAGTTGCTAAGTAATGCGTAGCAGATTCTGAAGCAATCCTCCAGCATATTCATGAATATGCTTGTCGGCTCGGCCGGCCAAAAGCCGCCCGCACACCGAACAACCATTATCAAGCTACCAAATCAATCGTGAGCAACAATATCAAGACATCCTATCAAGTCTGCAGCAACGAATACCAATCTGACAAACCAAGTATGGATGCAAACATCATCCTTTCACTTGATAGGGTGCACTCATCATCTCTTTACGTGAGGGTGCACACACAATCTCCTCAATCAACCAACGCAAACACAAATCTTGTAGCGAATATCCATACAATTTCTTTCATCACCCAACGTAAACACAAAGTTGGTAGTGACATCTCAATACAATCCCTTGAATACCCAACATCAACACAAAGTTGGTGGTGAAATATCAGCGTACCTGAGCTGACTTGGTGAAGCTGTAGGCTATGTAGGTTCTGATATCCGGATCAGGGTTGTAACTCCTGCTCTCGCCTGCGTCCAGCTTCAGACAACGGCCCAAGCAATTGGCGTAGTGGTTGTCCTTGCTGTATATGTCTGCGAAGCTGTTGCCCTCATACCTGCCACTCTTGATGCGCATCGGTCCCAATGTAGCCAACCACTGCCTCAGGAGAGCACTGTCCCCCAGGTAGATCTGTCCATCCTCTGTGATCTCGTTTGGGTACGTCTCCACCTCAGGCTCAGCCTTCAGGCGTTGTGTAGCTGTCTTGGGTTTTGCCTGCTTGGGCACCTCCGCCCTCCTGAAAAAAAGGTTGTTTCTGTTTGAACTGTCCACCTCCATCGGTGCCATTCCGAAGTCCTCGCCGTCGCTCTGCTTAGGCTGCATTGTGTAGAGAAAAATTGACGACTCCCGCGATGATAGAGACCAGCGTCACCACAGTAGGAGACTTTGAAAGACACACTCCCTACACTGCAAGTGCACAGAACTGAAGCACAATTGCAACTTGGTCAGGTATCTGGATGGTTCGCTGCGCGCCACTCCTGTCCGTTGGGTAGTTGTCCGTCGCATCGTCCAGGTAGAATGTTTCGACATACTCGGTCTCGTCATACTTTTAGTCCTTGTCATCGTAGAAGCACTCGTCCACATAGTTGTACGCCTCCACTGGCCAGGTAGATCTCTCATCGTTCCCATCGGTGTCTTCGTACAGCTCCTGCTTGGCGTACTTAGCCATCTTCGCGTTGAGGTCGTCGACATCCTTGTTGGCTGCCATCTTCTCTGGTCCAACCAGCTTCCATCCGCGTGTTGATGGTGTTCTGTCATCAGGCCCAAGAGTCCAAAAGTTAGAAATTTCGATCTTCCTCGCGTAGCCTTCTGGAAGTACTTTTGTCAAACAGTCGGCTAGCATCTGCTCGCTCTTGACCCACTTAATGCTGACCTCCTTTTAGTGACCCACGTAGTATAGCCGCCTCCAGAGAAAGCCTCCTCCGATCTGTCATAGATACCTTCTCGTTCGTGATCGCGTCATACAGGCTCTTGCAGTCGGTCACAGAAATGAATTTCACCGGATAGGTGTCGTGCGCGATCTCGGCCGCATCCGTCTTTGGGTACAGGATCTCCGCCAAGGTTGATCTTGTCCAAATCAACATATCCACCGAATCTGCCCAGGAGTATGCCTCCGCCGACAGAGTAGATCATACCACTCGTTGAATCTCTGAAGACTGCCACTGAATGCAATGTACCTTGTTCTTGTTGCCGTGGTCCTCATTGATCTTCTCGTCACCTAGCATGATGAAGTGTCCTCGTTGCGAT